ATATCTTGTGGCCTGAGCATATTTTGTAACACACCTCTACTTAATCTCACCTACTTGGATGGCTCAATGGTGTAGGCGTTAGTCTTGGATTAAATTTCAAAACCATGGCCAAAGTTGCCTAATCTTCYTCTGCAGCTGACAGCTTTACCCCAAGATAAACCAAGAACAAAGACCCGCCTGGGGCATCTTTAAAGCTGTGAAGGTTATTTCTCCCTAACACCTTGCTTCTGTTTCTCACAGAAGGAGGCTGGAGGAAAAGGGAACACCCTCATAGGTGTAGGGGCCTTCTGTAAGGTGACCAGACAGGTCTGAGCAGCTTTCTGGGCCCCTTGGCAGATAGGAGACAGCAGGGGCCTTCTCACAGGATTCCGTGATGCACTCCATCCTAGGGATGAACCCAGGTCCGCCCTCACCTCCCTTAGATCTTCCTCCTCGAAGGAAGTCCCTCTCAGCCACCTTCGCCAAGCTCTGACCTGTGTCTCCACTAATGGCTATTTACTGCTCACCCCCAACCTATTTATAGCAGTGAGTTTAAACTGCCTCCATGACTCAAATTTTAAAACTTACAGTTTTATGGTTTTCAAATAACAATCCRTATTTGGATACGTTGTTATCACATCGCTCCTGAACTAGGAGTCATAATAAAATGTTGAGAGGTGGATTTTTAAAAAAGGAAGGAGGTGGGTGGAATCTCCTAAAAAGTAAAGATTGTCACTGTCACCTTCTTTTTGTTTTTCTGAGATGAGGTCTTGCTCTGTTGTGCAGGCTTACCTTGAACCCCTGGGCTCAAGGAATCCTCCTGCCTCAGCCTCCCCAGTAGCTGGGACTACAGGCAKGTGCCACAGCCCCTGACCCTGTCACCTTCTTTACCCTTCTTTTCCACATCACGTGCWCTCAGAGAAGATTAAAGTAAATGWTGAACGTGCGACTCAGCACATACCTAGCCATAAGGAATTTGTGATTATTGTCGATGGTGGTCTTCCTAGAAGAGTGATTGGCACYCTGCTCAGTTTTCTTTGTTGTATTTATTATTATTTATTTATTTATGGCAGTGGAATGCATTACAATTCTTAKTATACATATAGAGCACAATTTTTGTATCTCTGGTTGTATACAATGTATATTCACACTAATTCACATCTTTATACATGTGCTTTGGATAATAATAATCATCACATCTAGATAGTGCTTTACCTAATTGGTCTTCTTAATTGATCCATGGGTTTATCCAATGGCATTATTCCTATCAATGATCATTTCCAAGTGTCTGCACATAACATAAATGAAACACCAACAAAAAGATAAAAAAAAAAATTAGGGAAGCTGGGCTCTGTAGTACACACCTCTGATCCCAGCAACTGGGAGTGTGGGCTGAGGCAGGAGGTTCACAATTCAAGTTCTCGGTCACTGCTGACAACATAGCAAGACCTTGTTTCAAAAATAAAAGATAAAAAAAAAAAAAGCTGAGGATGTAGCTCAGTGGTAGAGCATCCCTGGTTGAGTTCCTAGTACAGCAAGATTAAAATAAAATAAATAAATCAAGGAGTGGAAAACRCTGGTCTATATAAACTGGTACATGCATGCTGTTTCCTGTTTATCACTCTTCTTGGGATTCAGCCTCCACCTGGCACCCTGTTCTTTCTTGGGTCCCGTAGTTTCAATAGCTTTTCAGTATTCTTCTCTGACATCCATCCTGAGGCCAAGTGTTTTCTATCCTGCTTGGGAGTCTGCCTTCTTCAGCCATGCCCTTAAATGAAAGAGCAGGAGGAACCCCTGGTGGATTTGACATTCATTCAACAGTGTTTTGCAGGCACTGGACTAGGCACCAGGGATGCACTGTGATAAGATGGAGTTGCTGCTCTCAAGTGGCTTATAGGCTAGAGGAGGAAARCTCCCAATGAGTCGGAGACAATTCCTAAGGGTCTGGAGTGGGAGATTGTAACACTTGCACCACTCATGGGTGAGACTGGAATCAGTGGAACATGTTAGGCTTGAGGCACCCATGGGAGGAGGGCTGGCTGAGTCTGAGCCAGAAGCCTGCAAGCAAGAGCAGGTAGACCGATAGATTCCCCAGGCACCAGTGGCCCAGGAAGTGGGCCAGGAACAGTCTGCAGAATTCCAATGACTCCAGGGTCTAAGTGTGGCCTCACATTTCCTTTCATTTAAAGGCACGGAAACAACACGTAGGGATATTGTTGGGATAATCTGTAGAAGAGCAGTAAGCTGATAGATGAGAAATGCATTTAAATGGCCTGGTTCTGTCCTCTACTAGGGTCAGGTTGGGGAAAGAACTATACTGCGATGATGCCGCAGGGCTAGGAACGCTGGCAAATTGCTGGCGGCTGGCACCGTCCACTCACCAGGACACAGATGGCCACAGCAGAGACCTGCACGTTTGAAGATCATTTATTAGACCAGAGTGTGGAAAACGGCCCACGTACTATCAGTATTGTTCATCTGTGAATGGGTTATTACACAGCCATTGAAAAACTGAGCAAGTTCTTCATGTACTGATCCATAAAACATACAGACACGTGCGCGCGCACGTGTGCACACACACAGTCTGTGCTTCCAATTGTGTAAAAAACACACAGGGGAYAATATGACATTTGCATTCTAAGCACACATTGACATGGATATGTGRTATCTCTGAAAAGATTTTTAAAAAGAAAAAAAAATCAACTAGTAGCCTTAGTTGCCCCAGGGAACCAATTATGTAAAAAAGTAACCAATGTRGGGGGGGTGCCTCTATTTTTAGAAAGAAAAGAAAAAGTGATCAAGAGCTGTAGGAGATGCCCTGTGGATGAGCAGCCCCCAGGTGGAGGGTTAGTGATAGTGAAATATGCTTGCCTTGGCCTGTGGTGCTCAGAATCAAACACACCACTGGCGGTCAGGGCTCAGTCATGCTGCCAAGCTGCTCTTTGTGGTTAAGTCTATGTGATGAGAAGACGGACATTTCTGGGAAAGGCGGCAGGGGTAGAGGTGGTAAGAAGGTTTGCTGAGCCCCATTGCTAGTGTGCAAGAAATCCACAGTTCTCATTGCAACCAGGTAGTCAGATGCTGTAGACCGAGATTTGGGCTGTACGGTTTTTACCTTTTTAAATAACTTTCTTGGAGCTGGGGACATAGCTCAGTTGGTAGAGTGCTTGCCTTRCATGCACAAGGCCCTGGGTTCAATCCCCAGCACCACCAAACAAAAACAAACAAACAAACAAACAAAAAACCCTTTCTTGTTTTCCTCTTAAATTTCATCCTCTTTCTCATAATGATGGATATTGAAGTCTTAAAATGAAGAGGATCTGCAAGCTTGTTTTCCAGAACAAGAAGAAAGGTGGACATCCTAGTGCTGATCCTGGGGGGGAAGAGAGACTTGGCAATCTAGATAGGTGGTGACAACTGCCAAGAGGCCAGCAGGACAGGGGGAGCCCCTGAGACCTGCCACCGTGAAAAAGGAGAGCTACCAGGAGCCTGCCTGGGCCTGTGAACTGCCCGGGGCYCGGGAGAAAGGGGTTCCTCAAACGCAGTGACAGAGCAGCAGTGCTCAGTCACAGGATTAAACCTGAAATTGTCCCAGGTGAGGGAGGCGAGCCCATTCTTGTTGTCACAGAGAGCTAGGCCACTTCTTCATTCAACATTGTTACTACAGAGCACAGGGGACACTCCTGTTCATCCTCTTTATGCTGATCTTCAAAMGGCACGAAAAGCTTCAAATGAGGGAAGATAATTTATCTCCATTTCATCTCCCTTCTATTTGGTTTTAGCCACTTGCTGCTGTGACTCCAGTTTTGTCCCCTCTTTCCCAGAAATACACCATCACACGTGGATGGACCGCCCAAGGGCAGGCGGGTCCCCGCAGAGTCAGTGAAGGATGAGATTCCAGCTCTGCTCACAGGCAGCCTGCATGCTCCTCAGGAGATGATCACGTTCAGAAATGAGCAGCAGTGGCCGAGAGCACAGGGTCAACATCAAGACAGAGGACTGGATGACAATGGCTCCAGGGCTCATGTTGACAGAGGAGTCCTGGAGGATCAAGTTTCTGGGATTTGATGGGCCTCGAAGGACAGGTTAGATAGATGTCAGGGAGGTCTAAAAGCACTTCAGGTGGGACCATCTGTGTGTGGCACCCTTGTGGTATGACAAGGGACCCAATTAGCTGGAGAAGACAGAATGAGCAATGTCAATGAGAGTCTGAAGGAGGCTTTCCCCCAGATCCAGAGAAACCCACRCCCTGCAAATGTAGCTGTCAGGGCTTTCGAGAGATGTGCCAAGTGATCCAATATGGTCCACGACTGGCCTGCCAGGCGTGGAGGAAGGGGATGGGTCTGGGGAGGCTGTGGGATCTGTGTCCGAYACAATCCTCTTAGGTCTCTCTGCACAGTTGGAGCCAAGGTAAGGGCAGACTTTAACAAGACTCCACTCTCTCCCTGMAAGCTCAGCTCGTGTTATTCTTTTCTCTCCCTGTCTCCATTCCCTTTCCTGTGCATGGCCAGATGTGGAGAAGAGACCCTCTCTCACTGTGAGTTTTGGTGGGGATCTCAACCTGTAATGTTCCGTTTTAGGGAAGAGGTGCGCATGCGTAGCTGAGGAGGGAGTCTAGAACGTGGGAACCATGCCAGCGCTCCTGCGGTCTGGGAATCRTCCGTGTTCAGAGCCAGCTGTGACACCGTTTAGCTGGGTGGACTTGGGCTGTCACTGTCACCCGGTCCTTGGTTTCTTTTACTTGTAAAATGAAGGTTCGCTAAGACCTTCCTACCTCATATGATTTTCTTGAGGTGCCAATGAAATAATGTTAGCGAAATACTTTGGAGACTAAAGACTTTACTAGCAGCAGTTCCAGGTGAAGACTACCTGGGCACAGAGGGGAGTGGAATTGGCTRGGTAAGTGCCAGCCAGCCCTATGATTTTATAAAATTATTTTATATCACTATAAGAAGTTTAATTATGAGCTGCCTTTGATGTTTTAATAGCCCTCACTCTAATGACACTGTTTTCCTCCTCAGATGTCCCTGAGTTCCAGCTCCCCTCTGAAAGTTCCAGCGTGGTCCCCTCAAGCGTCAGGGGGATCCCCAGCCCTCGAAGCAGCATCTAAGATTCTCATGCAGCACCTTCAGAGACACCCTGGGCTCCAGTCATTCCTCATCCAGGATCAGAGCCACAGCTGATCTGAAAGTGGGATAGAAYGGTTCTAGAAATGACGAGATGCTCTATGTGGCAGTGAGCTGGGTTCTCCAGGCTTCTCCATCAGAAGCCCTTCCAGGTTAAGTTCCTCGTTGTAAAAGTGAGTCCTCCAGTGTCCCAGTGAAAATAAATTAAAAGCAAAAATGTTGAAAAATTTACAAACTTAGAAACGTGGTGGTGGGCTGGGGATGTGGCTCAAGCGGTAGCGCGCTCGCCTGGCATGCGTGCGGCCCGGGTTCGATCCTCAGCACCACATACCAACAAAGATGTTGTGTCTGCCGAGAACTAAAAAAAAATAAATATTAAAAAATTCTCTCTCTCTCTCTCTCTCTCTCTCTCTCCTCTCTCACTCTCTCTTTAAAAAAAAAAAAAAAGAAACGTGGTGGTGGCTAACGTGGAATTGGTGAAGGGTCAATTTTGGGTGTGTAAGGCAGGTCCAGAAGGAAAGGACAGCACACCCCCCAGCTCCTTGGGCAGTTTAATGAGGAGCTATTTATCATGGTGACTTACCTGGTTTGCTAGGGCCCGTGTCCCTTTTCTCTGTGTCTGTGTCCAAATCTCTCTTTGTGTGTGTGGTACCAGGGTTGAACCCAAGGCCTCCAATGTGCTCTACCACTGGGCTGCACCCCCACCCCACAAATCAGTTTTGGTAAAAACACCAGTCCTGTGGGATTAGGGCCCATCCTAATGGCCTCACTTAACACTAATTACCTCTTTAGAGGCCCTGTCTCCAAATGTGGTCTCATTTGAAAACACTGGGAGTTAGGACTTTGACATATAAATTTGCAGGGGACACAATTTGGCCCATGACACACACTACAGACAAGGTTCAGAGAAGCAAGAAGGGACACCCAGGAACTGGCACCAGCAGAAACCTTTAGCATCCAGGCTGCAGAAGTAGATGGGAGACAGTGGAGATCCTGGGACCTAGTCAACTGTAGCCACGAGAAAGGAGTCACCTCCAGAATGTGTGCCATGGGGTAGAGGAAAAGCCACTGTTAAGACCAGGCAGGGAGGGGAGAGGGATAAGACCTGTCCCTTCTCTTACCACACTCCTGACAGAGCTTCCGCTGTTCACCATCTGGAGCAGGAGCAAACACACCTGGGTGCCACTGTCAGATGCCATCCTCCTGAGGCAGAGAGCAGAGCTGCCAGGTGTGCTGGGAGGCTGGGCGATGAGGAGACAACAGAGAGTAAGTGGCACGATGGAGGGGAAAAGTACGTTACCAGAGGCAGAATTACAATTAATGTTTGAGAAASTTAAATGGTCTTTAGTTACTGGAAAACAGAAAATGTCACTTTCCTGCAAAAATATTAGTCATACATTCTAAACTAAACCACCTACCCCATAACCATGTCAATGTCCCAGAAGTTACCGTTCTAGAAAACATATTGACCCAGGTAAAGCAAAAAAAATAGAAAAACAAATATGTTTGTCAAATTTGTTTATGATGTTGAATACTTACATTCTTATAGTGTGTACTATAATATAAAGACCACACACACACACACACACACACACACACGCGCGCGCATATATATATATTTTTAATGGTTTAAAACAGTTGCCTGCCTGGCAGGATGACATAGGGCATGATGAATTGAATGTCCAAATGAAAGGTAGGGACCAAAAATGACCAAATTACAATTAATGTGTTTGCACCATCCTGGGTGGCACTAGTGTGTGTCATCCTGCAATTAGCCCTTATGTCCTTGGGCAAAGCAGCTGGCTCTCAGGAAGGGCACCCTCTTCCTGGAGCCTGAGTCCCCGTGGTTGCCCCCGGGAGCCACAAGCAGGTATGGAAGCTGGGGTGGCCTGCATCCTCGCCTGTCTGACCTTGCTTGGCCCAATGCACCCTTTGATTATGTCAAGAGCCAGTCACATTGTGGGCAGATGTTCAAATGGGCCAGACTAGAGTCTACCCCCAGGCCCTTTTGGAATAAAACAGGATCTTCTGCACCAGGGATCTACCAAGAGAAAAAGGGCTCAGCCAGTGCCAGTAGCTGCAYTTTGCTTCAGCTGCATTTGAGTTCTCTCTTCCTGTATCACAGAGCATTCCAATTTTATTTGCTGCATGGAGAAGTCAGCTATTTTCTTCAAGAATCTGAAGTTTGGKCAGGGATCTTTGCAGGGAGCTTGACTCCAGTCCACATTCCACTTCCAAGATGGCGGAGGGACAGGTGGGCACTCAGCTAGGCCGAGGGTGGGGCCCGTTTCCCTCYATATGGCCTGGGCCTCAGGGCATGGGGCTAAGCCAGATGGAATCTGAATCACCTCTTGATCTTGGAAGTCTCATAGCATCATTTCTTTCATCCCTCGTTGGCCAGAGAGACTTGTCCAATTTCAAGCAGAGGTGACAGACTCTGGAAAGTGGCAAGGTTCTGGAAGTACATGTGGACTGGGAGATATTTTTGCAAATATTTTGGAATAGACTCTGCCTCAGGATGGTTCCTTGTGTGCCCCTTACCTGTCTGTACATCATAACACAGTGGTATGAACTAGAAACAATCAATAAAGATGATATTGCTCTTCATTAATTCAGCAAAACTTTATAGAATACCTACTGTGCTAGGTTTTGGGAATAGAGTTGTCCCTCAGAATGTGAATTCTGATATCAAAATCAACTGATGCTCAAGTCTCTTGTGGACAAATGGTGTGATATCTGCATATAACCTACATATATTTGCATGTAACTTTTTATTTCTTTTGGTGCCGGGAATTGTGTGTAGAGTCTTGTGTGTGCTAAACATGGGCTCAGTAAGCTAGACGCRCCAGCCCCTCCCATATACTTTAAAATGTTTCTAGATGACTTGTAATACCTAACACAATGTAAATGTGTTGTAAATAATATAAGCAGTTATACTATATGACATAAGGAATAACGACAAGAAAAGGCAGCTTGTACGTGACCAGCATACAGAGATGATCATGGTGGACCTAACTACATAGTATACTTTGGCACCRGGAAAATTGTCTTTTTCTGATTTTTGTGATCTCTGGTTGGTTGGACTCTAGGATATAGGACTGTGGATACAGAGGGCCTCGTGTGTAGGTGTGAGAAAAACCTACTCCTGCTTTCAAGGCGCTATTATAGCTGGGGAGTGGACAGCAGCTATGATAATACCATGCTGGCTGCAAGGAGTGTGTACTGTGCCAGCCCCCAGAAGGGACAAGTAAGCCACTCCTCGGGGAGTTACAGAAGTGACATCCAAGCACAGACCTGGGAATAAGTAGTAAATAGGAAGTGAGTTGGAACATTTCAGAGAAGAATAAGATGGAAATATGCAGAGATCCAAGACGAAACAGGTGACCAACCATCCCGGTTGCCCAGGACTATCCTGGGTTTCACCAAGTCCAGGAAGCCCCTGGGTCGCTGGGAATTAGCCTTGGGCTGGTGAATGGTCTAGGAAAGCTGGCATCTTCAGAAGCTGGAGTGAGGCCATGGTGGGGTTAGAGAGAGAGAAAGCTGGAAAAGTAGCCAAGAGTCCAAGCAGGAAGCCTAGCCATGGTAGAGTGAGGGCTTCATCACAGGCAGCTGAGCAATCAGGGATTTAAAGCCGTAGAGTGACTTGCCAAGACTTGCATATAGAAAGAGCTGTGGCTCCTGGATAATTAAGAAGAGGGATAATATTATTCAGCTATGAAAGGAGGTGAAATCCTGTCATTTGCAACAACATAGATAGAACTTGGGGACAATACATTAGGTGAAATAAACCAGGTACAGAAACAGAGACAAATACTATATGTTCTCATTCATATGGGGAAACTCAAAAAGTTGATGTCATAGAAGGAGACGGTAGAACAGAGGTCATCACTGGAGGCTGGCAAGAGGTGGGGCAGGGGATAGAGGGAGGTCAGATAACAGGTACCAAAGCACAGTTAAAACCAGGCATGGTGGTGCGCACCTGTAATCTCAACTACCCGAGGAACTGAGGCAGGAGGGTTGAAAATTTGAGGTCAGTTTGGGCCACACAGCAAGACCCCATTTCAAAAACAAAATAATGCAAGCCAAGTATGGTGGTGCACGCTTGTAATCTCAGCAACTCAGGAGACTGAAGCAGGAAAATTGTAAGTTTGAGGCCAGCCTCAGCAATTTAACAAAGCTCTGTCTCAAAATAAAAAACAAAAAGAGCTAGGGACATAGCTCAGTGGCAGAGTTCCCCTGGGTTCAATCCACCAAAACAAATATCAACAAGTAATGCAGAGTTGGACAGGAGGAATAAGTTCTAGTCTTCTACAGTACAGCAGAGTGGCTGTAGTTTACAATAACTCATTGTATACTTTATAAAGAATTAGGAGAAGAGTTTGATGTTTCCCAGAACAAAGAAATGGCAAATGTTTAAGCAGATGGAAATGCTAATTATCCTGATGTGATCATTACACATTGCATAGATATATCAAATTATCACATTGTACCCCATAATTATGTGCAATTTAAAAAAAATAATTTTGAAAGAAGAGAGGATGAGAGCAAGCTATGGAAAGGCACAACAGAGAAGAAGAGAAGAAACAAGTTCCCAGGGCCACCCTCCAAGGACAGGGAATGCACAGGGAGTTGTCCAAGCCTAGAAGAGGCCTGGGACAGCCGGACCTGTGGTCCAGACAAGCTGAAAGGGAGCTGAGAGCTGGTCAAGAGCACCTTCTTAACCATCCATTCATTTTACCCTGTCCATCTTTGTCCATCTTCTACTGTAGTTATTTCTGCGTGTATCTTATTCCCTCCTACCCTCTAGATTGAGAATTCTTCAGAGGAACCTAKTCTCACCCACTCCATATTTCCACATTTTCTCTTATTCATTCCGCACATGATTGGCATTTGATGGTAACACTGTCACCAGAATGTCATCAGAGGATGYGAAATGTTCATTTCTCAGCAGCCTCTTCAGTCACTAGCAATAACAGCAGACAGACACTAGAGGGCACTCCTTCCTCTTTTATCTGAGTCCAGGGCCCTGCACCTTTTCTGCCCAGTTAGGTCTCTTA